GTTGGGGCATCCCCTGTCCTGTCTCTCTGAGCTGTCACAGCACTCTGGACTTCTCCAGTCCCCAAAGGTGTGTGACTTCACTCTCATCCTGGCAGGGCTCATTCAGTCACATTTTGGCTCTGAGATCACCTCCCTTGCTGCAGACACAGCAGTGGGTAAGGCAGTAAAGTCTTCCCCATCAACCTCCTCACCCTCCTGAGGAAGTTGTTTCGGTGCTTTTGCATCCCTGCCCTGTGCTGAGAATGACAGAGGGACTGATGTGACCCTCTGTGTGTGGATTGATTTATCTCTCAGTGAACACACACAAATCCCCATACAAGTAAGGCCTTTAGGAGATGATACCAATCAATTTTGCATTTCTTGGTTTCCAGGCTGCTTCTTAGCTATCTCTTCCAACCACTTCCAAGATTCCTTGGATTATTTTATCCGTCATTACAAAAGCTTTTTGCTGCTAAGGCAGATTTTTAAAAGACCTGTAGTTACATTTACAGATGTCACTGATATGTTGTGAGTATTCCCAAAAGCACTGAGGAAGGCGCAGGTGATTTTAGTGCTCTCACCCCCCATTTCCTTACCAGAGTCAGCTTGAAAATCTCGGCGAGGTTACCTTTAAAGCACAGAACAGTTTTCTGTAGAGGCGTGAACTCCTCTAGATGGCACTCGAAGCTGTGTTTTCGCTCTGTTGGAGGAGACAGATACTGCAGAACTAAGAAAACTTTCTCCTCTACTTGCGAGCTCAAAACTGACAGTTCTGAATTAGTTGTTCAGTGTGAGTTTCTGGACAAGCTAACAGAATTGTCTTATGGCCATACAAGAATCCTGGAATACTGCACATAGTTCTGGTGGCCTCAAGGTAAGAAGGACATGGAACTGTCGGAGCAAGTACAGAGGAGGTCACAAATTTGCTAAGAGGATTGGAGCATCTCCCCTGTGAGGACAGGCTGAGGGAGCTGGGGGTGTTCAGCCGGGAGAAGAGGAGGCTCAGGGGAGACCTTATCACTCTCTGCAACTCCCTGACAGGAGGTTGGAGTCAGGTGGGGGTTGGTCTCTTCTCCCAGGCAACCAGCAGCAGGACAAGAGGGCACAGACTCAAGCTCTGCCAGGGGAGGGTTAGGTTGGCTATTAGGAAGAGATTTTTTGTGGAGAGAGTGCTCAGGCACTGGAATGTGCTGCCCAGGGAGGTGGTGGATTCACCATCCCTGGAGGTTTTCAAGCTGAGACTGGATGTGGCACTTAGTGCCATGGACCACGGGAAGGTTGGACTCAATGATTTTTGAGGTCTTTTCCAACCAGGTTGATACTATGATTCTATGATTCTGTGATTCTATATCTGCACTTGTCTTTCCGTAAAACTCAGGCCTGCAGTGAGTGAAAGATCTCCATCACTGCTGTGCTTAGAAACTGTGCAGTCATCAATGATCTCCTCCAGCAGAGCGAGGAACACATAAAACTCCTGCAAGCTTTACCTGGGATTTTCAGCCTCGGGAATGTCAGTAACTCACTCTACTCGAATTATTACCCATATGGTGAGTTTATTGTGAAGTAAGAATACAGAGAGTGTTGTAATGGTACACATGATGTTGTCACATCTGCTCATTGTGCTCGGGAGAGAAGCATTAATATAAACAAAGAAGCAAATAAGTATATACACCTCCTTTCCCAGCAAATCTTGAAGCATTTCCACCAGTGTGGCAGATCATTCTATGCATTTAGCTTTCCCATAAATATATACATTCAGGTTTATTTATCCACATTTGAATCATTACTCTTTCTAAGCAAGTTTTTCTCTGCTAGCTCAAAAATGTGAGTTAGTTACATGTTCTTTGGTCTTGGATTTATTCTCTTGGCTTTTGCTGTCTTTTAATCCTTTTAAGGCTAAATATAACCCACCACAATGATACAAAAGTGAGAAGAGAGGAAGAGACAAAGCATTAGCCTCTCTACACTAGTGTTTCGTTTGCGTTTTGCATTTGCAAATGGTTGTGCAATGTATATACTACCTCAGCTGAAGTAAGGACAAACATTTGAGTAGGAGAGCAAAAGTAGGTCAGAAAGGTCCAAAATCTAAACTGGTAATTAGAGTTCTCATAGTATGAGTTCCATTCTGGAAACAATTTGTACTCCAGACATCACTGGGGTGTTTTGGGTGGCTGTTTAACAGGTCTTTTGATGTCCTTGAGCCTCTCACTGGTTTACTCTCATGGGTCAGGGAATAGTTCAGGCTTTGCTCAAACTCTGGACTCCTCTGTACCTGTCCCAATTGTTGCCTTTGGGGCAGAGAGGGAGAAAATTTTATTAGTGCACCATATAGTTCATCCATGGACTTGAGAAAGTGGTAAATTCTGCTCAGCTGTTTCCATGAACAGCAACTTTGGGTTTTGTTTAACACTCAGGGACTAGAAAATTAAGAGATCATTCTTTTCTGTACATGTAGATCACCTTGTTTTCATGGAGGACTGAGAAAAATACAACCTTCACTTGGCTGTATCTCCAGCAATATTAGATTTACCACCTTTCTCTTCCTCCAGCAAGATGAGTTCAGTTCTTGCCGAAGACGTCACGATAGTGCGAGAAACTGTGACACTAGATGAGGCCATACCAATTGAGAATTTCTCCCCCTCTGTTGTTTCCTTAGGTGACAAACTTTCTTGTGCATCAAAAAACACATCAGGTTTATCTGATGGGCTGTCTTCATCTGAGGCTCTTCCCTCTTTATGACCCATCTCTTCTTTGTCGACAGACTTAGCCTTTTTGGAAGGGGATGTGAAGCCAAGCTTGGGGAACCTAAACCACCCAGCTTTTTCAGTTTGCTTAGAGGGATCATTATCTGCTGCCTCAGCAGGTTTCACGCCTTCTGGAACTGATTTTGTGACTTCTGGTTTTGCATCTGTGCTTGTTTCACCACCAGAAGATGAAAAGCCAATACTTGGAAGCCAAAATTTGAATCTTCCAGGAGATCTTTTGCTATCGGTCTTTTCTTTTTCATTGGCTATGTCTTTTTCTTCACCTTCCACTGCTTCAGACACAGCCTCATCTTTAGGAAGAGAACCTGCAGCTATTCCCTCTGGTGATTCATCAAGAAGACTCTCTCCAAGGTTACTGTAAGGCTTTACTTCAGCAGTAAATGTTTTTAGCTTTGACAAACTTCCTTCTCCATGAGGTTCTTCAGACTCGTGATGTGGTTTGTCAGACAGTTTGAACTCAGCACTGCCAGTTCTCTGTGCTGCTGTTCCAAAGCCTTCACCAGCACTTGTTGGTCTCCTCACTGATGCACCTTCCACTGGAGACGGATGCTCAACTAGCACATCTAAGTCACTATGTGATTCAGGTAACTTTGCCTTGAGCAGTGAGAATCCCAAGGTAGCAGTTTTGACTTCTGATGAGAGAATCTCTGATTCTTTCACTATTTCAGTAGTGTAAATCTCACACCTTTCAATAGCAACGTGTTCAGGCTCTACCTTCTCACTCACTTCTTGGCCTTCTATGTAAGACCAGTGAATGTCTTGACCTGTGCTGGACAGGGAGGACTCTATGGTAGTTGTCATCTGTGCTGTTTTGATGTCAGGCTCAGTCAGCACTAGGATTTTGCTCTTTGCTTTTTGAACACTTCCCTCTAGAGCCTCTGGTGTTCCTTCAGGACCATCAGGGCTTGTTTGCAGTTGCACTACTTCAATGTCAGCACTAGATCCCTTTGGAGCTGTTAGCACTTTTGTCACTAAAACATCACCTTCAGCTGGGAGAGCTTTGAAAGTGAATCTTGGGATTTTTAGTTTGGGAATTCTTACATTTACTTCTGGACCACCTTGTGATTGGTCCACCGTTTCTCCACATGCTTCCAGATGATCCAGAGCTGGACTTTTCAGGCCAGCAGATCCACCTTCAAAACCTTTGGCTTCTGAATGCAGCATTGCCAGCTTTGGGATCTTAAACATGTATGCTTGGCTTTTACTTGTTTCTGCTCTATCCTCTACTTGCACTTCCACTCCTGCAGACACTTCCTTTTCGACACTTTTCACTTGAAATTTCATTTCAGGGTCTACTCTAGTAACTTTAATATCCACCTTCACTCCTGGAACTTCTACCTTTAGGTCTTCCAGCTTAGCAGTCTCATCTTCTGCCCCCTTTGTTGTAGACCACTCACACATTGTCATTTTTGACCAACTTTCTTCACTGTCTTTTCCTGGCGTTTTCACCTCACCCTTTATCTTCCCTCTTTGAATTGCTGCCTCTTTATTTTGCATATCCAGCTCCTCCTTTGGAAGACAGACTTGTATTTTCTCCTGAGTTGCATCCAGAGTCATATCAGCTGAAGATGGTTTGTATCCTACTCCTGAAGTCTCTAACCTAGTGGAACTTTCTACCTTTGAGACTTCAATATCCCATGATTTGACTCTATGCTCCTGATAAGTCAGAGTGGAGGTAGGAAACCGACTCGATAACCTGTTGTCTCTGTCAGTTTCTGGAGCACTCAGGCAGGATTTAGGCAGTTCTGCTGCAGGCACGCTGAGTTCTGAAGCACACACTGTCCGTCCTTCAGCACCACGCTTAACTATGTCTGCATAGGTCTCTGGTTTGGGAATGTTCACTCTACTCTCTGTTCTTTCTGTGGATACTGAAACACCTCCTTCCCTCTTTGACAAGCTAACACCAGAACTCCTCATGGAATCTCCTGATTTCTGCACCCCTTCTTTTCCCGCAGTAATGTCAGTCACTGCATGTGGGACTGAGAGGGTCTTTTCAGCAGTACTTGTTTCAGCCTGTGTTTTAGCAGAGGGAACACTCACCTGAGCTTTTTCCATACTTCTTTCAACATCAGCATCAACTTTTTTTTCCTTTAAGGATGTCCTGCCAAATGCAGGTATTCTGAATCTTGGCATTTTGAACCATCCTTGATGTTCTTCAGCCTGAGCTTCTTCAGCTTTTATTTCATGTCCTTCTTTTAGTTTTGTTTCTTTCTCCTCAAGGCTCTCAAGAGCTCCCTCAGTCTTTGGTTCAGATACCGACTGGGGGCTGATCTCTACCTCTGGAGTTTCAATGCTAACTGTCAGAGCTTGGAGCATCTTTATCTTACAAACTACTCCAGGATCTTCCTTATCAGATGCAAGTTCTGATGTTGGAACTCCCACAGCAATGTCAGCAATTTCTTTTGTCATTTTTAGCTGGGGTAGCTCAGCTTCTATTTTTGGAGAGCTGATCTCTGCCTCTGGGCCCTTCCCTTTTGTTAGGGAGACTCCAAACTTTGGCTTCTGGAATTTGGGCATTTTAATCTTCCCGTCAGAACCTTCCAATTTCACTTTTTTTCCATCCACAACTGATGTTCTTTCTGTTGCTATATCAGGGCTCTTCAGTTCAACTGAAGCTTCTCCTCTGGGGAACTTAATACCTGTTTTTTGACTGTCACATTCATAAGTAGAACTTGGTTTTAGGTCAACCTGTTGGAAACTGAGCTCTGAGGGAGTCAGACTGGCATCAGTCTTTGCTGAGCTGACTCCCAGTTCAGTCTGAGATGCTTCAGTTTCTAGTTTGGAAAACTCCAGAGTTTTCTTAACATCAGCCACTTTTATGCTTATTTGTGCCCCTTCTTCAGCCCCTTCCAAATGGCTTTTTTCTATGTCAGGTATCTTAATCGAGTCATCACCATCTCTTTCTGTTCTAGGAAAAGTAGCATCAGCTTCGACTTTTGGTGAATGAGACTGAGATTTTGGAACCTTGATCTTAGAGAGTGAAATTTTAGGCATGACAAATTGAGGCTTTTTAACTGGACTTTTTTGTTCACCCTTTCCTCCAGATGTTTCCAGATCAAGGCCTGGCCCACTACCTTGCTCATCACTTGCAGTTCCTCTCACTTCTGTGTCTATTCTGCTTGACACTTCAGCAAGACTTTGGTCTTCCAAATTTGCTCCAGAATCTGCTTTAACACTTGCTTCCTTCTTTGGTGACCAGCTGAAAGATGGAAGTTTGAATTTTGGCATTTTGAAATGTCCTTCTTTCTCTTCTCCATCTCCATCTTGCTTTCTTTCCCCTTTAATCTTTAGTGCTGCATCTGAATCCTGAATATCACTGTCTGGTTTTGAAACAGAAATGTCAGCAGATGGGAAGTGAACATCAGGCTCCAATGTCTTGCTGTCAGTTTTGCCTGTTTTGACTTTAGGGATGTAAGTATCTGTTCCTGTGCCACATTCCATCTCCAAATTTGGTGCTTCGACAGCGATGTCAGATATTTCTACTGTTGCTTTGAGCTGAGGAGCCTTAACTTCTGACTTGGGTTGGCCTACCTCCTTTTCTGAGCCTTTCCCTTTAGAAAGTGTAATTCCTACCTTTGGCATTTGGAATTTAGGCATTTTTGGTTTTCCTTCAGGACCTTCAACTTCTATTTCTACATCACCCACAGCAATCTCACGTGATGTTGTTTCCACACTTGTCTCAGGACTCTTCACCTCAATAGAACCTTCAGGTATCATCTTAGTGTCTGAGGTGGAGAGCGTGGCATTAGCAGCAGCTGATTTCAGTGACAGGTCACCTTCTGCACGTGTAGGAGGTATGACCTCACCTGTATCCATCTCTGGTTTGGGAGCTTTGACTTCTGGTTTGGAGAATTCCGAAGTTGAGACTGTAGCTTTTGGCACTCTTATGCTCACTCCTGCCCCTTCTCCACTACTCCCTTCCTCAGATTTCTCTACTGAAACAACTTCTTTTTCTTGTTTGGGACTACAAACATCAGTTTCCAATACAGGTAGAGAAACTTGGACTTTCTGACCCTTCATTTTAGGGAATGAGATCTTTGGCATAGTAAATTGGGACTTCTTGCTTCTGACCTTTTCACCATCTTTTTCTGTTGATGTGTCAAATTCTGCATGAAGGTATTGATTCTCAGGAGTAGAAGTCAATTCAGAGCCCATGTCTCCAGATGAAGTAGACAAAGTGGGTTCTTCCAGATGTTCCTCAGCCTGAGGAGGAGCAATAGCTTCTTTCTTTGGTGACCAACTAAATGAAGGCAGTTTGAATTTTGAAGACTTAAATTTGTTTTCTTTCTCCTCAGTATCTTTGTCTCCTGAAACTACTTCCCGTTCTGTCCTGCACTCTAAATCTGGTCCATGGATTTCTGCTTCTAATTTTGGCATGGCAACTTCCACTGGTGAGAGATTGGGATCCAGTGTCGGTGCATCCAGGGCAACTTGAAGTGAAGGTTTGTGCAACTTCACACCTAATTCAGAGGTCTGAGTTGGTTTTTCCTTATCAGGAACAGTCACATCAGATGTTACCCTTCCAGTGGAGATTTCAGGTTCCACTTTGGAACAAATGTCACTTTCTGATGCTTTTCCCTTAGATCGAAACCCGAACTTTGGCTTTCGGAACTTAGGTATTTTAACTGTAACCTCTGTGTCAGCCAAAGCTATTTCACCAGCTGCTGTTTTCCCTTCTGGCTTCAGACATCCTTCCTCCACAGAACCATCTTCACTTAGAATTTCAAAATCTGAAAGGTTCTCATCAGCAAGAGGTGGAACTTTTGATTCAGATTCTGTTATATTAATTTGATATTTAGTAAGAGTAATATCCCCTTTTGGTAACGAGGATTCCAGGTCCATTTTAGATGAACCCATATCAACTCTGGAGAAACCCAAGCTAGGTATTCTGAATTTACTACCTCTAGAGACACAATCACCCTTAATGTCAGGCAAAGGTTTAGATCCAACACTGCCCGAAGGAACAGCAGGAGTTTCCTCTGTTACAGTATAACAAAGAGTTTCTGACACAGAAACATCAACAACAGATTTACTTTGTGTGTGAGGTTTGAAACTTTTAGAAAGAGAAACCTTAGGCATTCGAAATACAGAACTTGTAGATTTCCCCATCTCATCCCCTTTACCAGCTGAGGATTCTGTGGTGACCTCGAAAGTGGGTTCTTGGATCTCAGCCTCAGGCAGAGTCACGTCCATTTCAGCAGCTCCTGAGGGCAGTGTCACCTGGGGCTCCTTGAGGCTGACATCCAGCTCAGCAGCCACAGTGCCCTTGGCCTCTCTGCTGCTGGACCAGCCAAAGGAAGGCATGCCAAACTTGGGCATCTTGAACTTGCCATCCTTGCTCTTGGTGACCTCCTTCTCTAGAGCTTTTGCTTCCCCTTCCAGGCTCAGGGCGGCCTCAGGTGCCTGCAGATGGACGCTGCCCTTTGGCAGGGTCATGTCAACAGAGGTGATGTCCACCTTGGGAGCTTTGATGTCTGCTTTGGGCATTTTGAGGGAGGGTTTCTCCAGCTTCAAGTCAGCCCCTTCGGTTTTGGCACTGGGGATGTCAGCCTTGACTTCCACATCTGCTGCTGTGAGGGTGGTGGAGGGGAGGTCAGCACCTGCACTGGGCAGGCTGACCTCAACACCAGGCCCTTCTACCTTGGGGGATGAAACTCTAAACTTGGGCATGTCAAACTTGGGCATCTTCAGCTTCC